CTAGGTTCTGGAACCTTTGGAGCAGTATATCATGCTAAATAGAGAGGAGAAGATGTTGCCATAAAGAGGATCCATGATATACATTTCGCTGGAAAATCTTGGATAGAAGAATGGACGATATGGCTTTCAAATGCAAAATAAAAAAAAATATTTTCCAAATTATTTTATCATCTTATTCTTGAAATTCTAAATATATATCGATGTATTTTATATTCTTAGAGGGCTGACTTTTGGAACGAGATTTTCATTCTTGCTAATTTGCACCACCCAAATATTATAACATTTTATGGTATTGTTTGGGATGGACCTCGAGGATCTTTTGCATCCATCACCGAATACATGATTGACAGTTCACTACGAAGTGCACTTATAAACTATAGCAGGTATGTTCTTTATTTCAGCTTACTGCACCTAGCACCACAAATTTATCTTGTTTTGTACTTATATATTTTTTGTTGTAACGGTCAATTGCGATTCAAAAATCATCCTTAAAGATCTGTTAAAATAAAAAACCCTAATTATGGCACTTTGTTAAGACAACCAAACTAAGCAAATCGTCCTGGACGATAGTCTCGAATCAGCCGTCAAACTCTTTTAGGTATGATATTATTTTTAGAAATCATACATGACGATCTCATATCATCCATAACGATTCAATACAATTATGCCTAAATTAGTCAGGTGATTAAGGAAGCAATTAAGATTTGATTGATCGAGCATATCGTCCAAGATAATCGCATGATCGTCCTGAACGATCAGTAAGAAAAACCTTACTCTTCTCGTGGATCACCCGGACGACCAAAATAATATGCTGGACGATCAGTTAAAATTCTCCATCGTTCAGGTGTATCACTTGGACAACTAGAACGATGTGCTAGGCGAAATCCCTGATTTTGAACTAATTGTACGGGACGATTCAAGAATCATCATGGACGATAAGTTATATTTCTTCATCGTCCAACATATATCTTCTAGATGACCAGAACGATGTACTAGACGATAAGTATGGTTTTAAACAAATTATACAGGATGATGTCCACACGTCCTAAACGATTAAAACAAATAAGGTTTCTAATCATCCAGCCCTCCCAGATCGTCCTAATTGAAAGGGCTAAAAATATTTTGATCGTACGATCATCCTGGATGATCTTTGACGATAAGTTGCAAATTAGGGAAAAATTTAAGCCATTCGTTATAAGATCTCTTGTTTATTCAATAGGAGAACTTTTATTGCTATCCTGACCTGAGAGAGCCAAGAGAATGAGAGGGAGAGTTTGGGAGAGAGAGAAAGGATCTTGTGAGGGTGAGTTTGTGAGAGGTTTTTAAAGGTTGATCCAAGCAAGGATTCGAGTCATTTTCTCCAATCGTCGTCCCTGGTTCCTTGGAGGCTCTAGGGAGGTCTTCTTCAGCAATCGATTAAGGTTCTCTGCCTTAACGGGGTCGGTGAAAAGGAGTTTGTAAAGGCTTTTCCGCCTTGCTCTGGGAGCAAAAGGAGAGTCACTGTGTTTTAGTGCAATACCTGGAGGAGAGGCTCCGAGGAGTGGACGAAGGTCAAGTTCACCGAACCACTATAAAATCTTGTGTGTTTTTTTCTTATTACGTTTTTGCATTTTAATTTCGGCACTTTATTTTCATGTGGATGATCATATGGTTTGATGTTTTAAAATATTTCAAAAAGATCGTTGAGAGCTCCCCCCCCCCCCTCGCTCTCTCGGTTAGCCTCAAGCTTGTTCATAACGCCTTATCAACCCTAATGAACTTTCAATAGGGATACACTGACATTTGTTGTATGAGCAATATGAATGTCATTTATCCTCATTTATAGGTTGATTCAATCGAGTATTCAAGTCATTTTAGTCTCATAGTTTGCCACTTGTGCGTACTGAGAGCTTGTTTGCTACAAGCTGCTTATACATGATCATAAGAAGATTACTATAGGCATCATGAGTTCATGTTCATGCCCTTAGGAAAATTGTTTTGCTCATTACAAGTATCCTACATGTGTTTTTCTTCAAGCCGATGCTAATTGCTATGCAAGTTATACTCATTACTAATGTCCCCCACATACATTCATGAGCAGCTTACCATGCTCATTGTATGTTAACTTTCAATATTCGTAGATAACTATTGTATTTATCTACGGGCTGGTTGTCATTGATTGGAGAGAAATCTTGGTATTCATTTGATGTTCATTATGTATTATTCAATAACATACCATTCATGATTAAGATGAATTTCATGCACTTATGTTATATTCCCTTTAGATTAATTGTGGCTTGTTGACATTAGTTTATAAGTAGGTGTTTAGCAATTTATCCATCATGAGTTTTTTTAGTGCTCGTTGATCTTCATATTGCTTATTATTTTTGAGTGGGATGTAAGATTCTTACCCACCACAAGCAAGTTGTTACATCTTCAATTTGATCTTTGCTAGTGAGAAAGTTGTTTTATTTTAGACTGCTCGTTATTCGTGTACAATGAAGGTTTATTGATTACATGTTTATTTGTTAATATTCACTTGTTTGATCAAAGTTGTCATTTGGTTTTGGCTTTTTTTTTATTGTTTATCATATATCAAGCAATTTTAAAGTTCAGTCCTATTTTTAATGATTTTAGTTTTGTTTATTGTGATTGTTCAATTTTAAACTTAGTCCCATGTTCTGTTATTCAAATTAGGTCCTCTGTTCAGTCTGAATTTTACCAGCCTCTCGGCGTTTCCCTTGTTTATGGGAAATTCCAGGAGTTAGGCTTTCCCCTCCATGCTATAAGAGCACTTCAGGTAGGTGTCGGGCGACACTATGATCGAATTTCTTCCATCCCCACCATGCTACGATAGCGCTTAAGGGTCTTCGAGGTACTTGTTTGAAAATGCACAATTTTTTCTCTGATGACACTAAGGTGCGTACGTGTACTTAAAAATTTCCCTATCATGCGACAGAGTGTATACATGGCCTACCAGCCTAGCTGTAAGCATCGCACCGGGCTTCCTTCTACTGTGCTATGAGAGCGCATATAGGGAGGTCCCATGGCTAACCGTAAACATCGAATGTGAAGTTTGAGGGTTTAGAAAGTATTACACCTTTGCAAATGACAGTGACGACGAGACATCAAAAATTGCAAAACTGCACACAATCCTTTCTTTTTTTTATTTAATACTAATAGTAATAATATATAGTACTCATAATAATAAGAATATTAATATTAGTAACATTAAGATTCATAAAAATAATAATTAATAACATTAATTAATAATATTGGTAATAATTAATAGAAATAATCAAGCATAATAAGAAAGCATGTTACTGTGTGAAGGAGGAGGAAGTTAGTACGAGCATTACTGTTTGGTGTAGCAACTGTTAAGGTCGGCACGTGTTGAGGCGTGAATTGAAGTAGCAGGTATAGAACTTGGTCGAATGATGCTAGAGTCTGATCGGGTATGAAGAAAGGATCTGATGGATGTCTGGTTCGACATAAGATGTCAGGTTGAGAGATCGAGTATAGAGAAGGTTGGAGCTTGCGGCTGTTTAGGTTGACAGAGAGATATCAGCTTCAGTAGATGAAGGTCTAGGGCTCAAAGGTCTGACATATTTAGCCTGTTGATGTTTGGCTTGGTGTGAGGTGGATCGAGTATAGGAGGCAGAATTTAAGGATCGAGTAGAGGAGGTCGGAGGTTGGTACAGGGAAGATGGGGTTCATCCGGTTGTGTAGATTCGAACGGAAACCTGCGATCAGAGGTTGTGATTGAGCGTGGAAGCCTAGATCAGGTCGGCTTCAGCTAGGGCTTGCTATTGGTGTTCATCTGATGAGGTCAGAGGTCTCGACTGTGTGGAGGTCTTCGGCACAGTGGAGATCACGTAGGGTCGTGGCTGTTGACAGGATTTGGGAGGTCTCATGGCTTGTATACAAGAAGAGGGAGGAATGTGAGCTTCGTTCTCATTTTAACATGAAAGCAGGCTTGATCGAGGTAGGATTTACACGTGGTCGACTTTGAAATGGTGCTGACTGCAGGAGATGGGGAGGCCGTAGGATTTCGACAGGATTCGGGATGGGCTTGCATGTAATGATTTAAGCATTTTTTTTTTTTTTTTATTAAAAAGGTTAACAGCCTGGGTGTATTACTTTCTTGACCCGGGGGGAGACACTATGGCCATCATCTCTAGTCATGCATCAGATACTTTTTGCCATTCCTCATGATCTCCAGGTTCTGATACAATTCTGATGTGGTAGTCGACGGAGCAAGCTGAATAGAACAAGCTAAACATAAAAAAGAAGAATAGGAAAAACAAGGTTTATAGCTGAAAGTTGTATATTATCTTTTGGTTTTTATATACATAACACTTAAAACTATTATTTTTTCATATCCAACACCTAAACTATATTATTTACTTATATTCCACCTAAATAACATTTCACTCATCTAAAATACCACTCCGATATATTCCGTCGAATCCCCACCCCGTTGTCAACCCAATCTTTTTCCCGCATGAAAGCTTCTCCGATGACATGTGCCTTTCTCTACTCATATTGTGTGAAAAACAACACCGAGGAGGCCTCCTTTTGCCTCTTCTTCGCTCATCTTCAAGGACTCAATCTGGCTATTTCTCAGGATCCATCTCGTAGATAGGCTTCTTCCAAAATAAGGCAGACGAAACTCCAATGGAGCTACCTTCGCCTCCTCCTCTTCTTCCATCTTCTACCACTCCTTGTCCTTCATCGTCAAGTTTTTTTATCATCACAACCATCGCTCAACATCTCTCACCCATGTCAATTTTGTCGAATCATCCTCTGAACACTTTCTCGACCCCATCTCTGCCAAATATTTCCCGACCTCTACCTCATCACATTGTAGGACTTTTATATATTCACTGAAGACCCATCTCGGATCATTCTGTTGTAGCCTCCATAAGAGTTTCGGCTCCGCCTACGGAGGAGAAGGCAGTGTTGGATACCATCATTCTTCTTCATCACCGTTGAATTATCTCAATGTGCAGCAGTCGGTGATGACTAATTATTTTGTCTGGATAGGAATTGTGGAGGACGATGAAGATGAAGATGAGCACGCCAAGAGGAGAAAGGGGAAGAAGTTTAAACTCGTGTTACACCTCTCTCGTACGAATGCCAATTCTTACAATGCAGCCTGTGTCGCATCCGAATCGGGCAGGGCTGCAACCAATAGACAGAAGATGGATATTGTGGCAAAGGTAGGGGTGTTAATATTTGACACGACCCTAAAATAAGACACAAACCCAACCAAAAAATTTTAGGTTTGGTCAATTCGTTTGTCATAACGGCCGGGTTCGGGTTCAATAAATAACCCAATTTCAAAATTTGGGTCGGATTCACGTTGACCCAAAAACTAGAGAATGACCCGCTCGCGATCAATCAAACAGTTGGTTCGAGTCCACCATTGCTATCTCCCGTGGGACAAAGGCCACTAGAAGAGATCTATAATGTATGATTATGCGAGTTGAGCACGAGTTGTCGAAGGAATGACTGGTGGAGCTGGGCGTGGGCCAATGGTCAACATGGAAAACTGGAAAGTGACGGTTTCCATGGAACTGGCACGTCGATCAACATGTCTACATCATCTCTGGTGAGGTTCAAGTGGTTCCTACGGGAGCCAAGTCTGGACGCTATGTGCACTTCATAGACGGAGATCTCACCAGCTACCCTAAATGGTTAGAGGCTGATCTTTTCTTTGATGGACCCTCACGTTCTCACTTCAGTAATTCGACATGGTAAACTCCAGGTTACCGTGTCGGGTCGGGTCAACTCGGTAACCTGACGGGTTGGGTTTGGATCCGAACTTTTGATCCGTTTACAAAAATTGGTCAGGATAAGGTCAACCTATTAGAACCCGGGTCAGTTACGGTTCGACCTAAACTTGACCCAAAATCTAATTTTGTCACCCCTAGGCGAAGGGCACGAGAAAGGCTCGGGTTTGGGTGGGGTTTTGATGGCAGTTAACATAAGTTGTATTTTAGATGATTGGGATGATATTTAATTGGTAGAAAAGAAATAATATATATATATATATATATATATATATGCATATATAAGGAAACAAATGAGCAACTTTTGTACTATGGCAACATAAAAGGAAACGATGTAATATAAAGTAAATAAGATAGTGTAGTATAGCCTCCAAGTCAGTAAGATAGTCATGTGCTCGTCATCAAGAATCCTTCACCAATAAAGGTTGGCAAGGCAGAATTGGTGTTGCGTGGTGGACGATGTGTACATGAAATGGGCGTTGAAGTTGGGGTGCGTGCATTGGACGGTGTGTACATCAATGGATGGTGGTCGCTGGCCTTAATGACATTGTTCGACGACAGCGATGCTTTAAACCTCGACTGGAGCAGCTGATTCTATCATGCATCTCTGAATGAGTATCAAAGCAATATCAGATCTATTACCTCTTCTTCAAAGAGCGCTGGCTGAAGATTGTCATGTTTGCCTAAGAGAACCAATGATAGTGTTGATTCTAATGGATTTCTCATTTATTTCCCCATAGGTGCAGTTTAATCAAGAAGGCAGAGATCTTTCAATGTAGCTAGAGAAAGACCTGCATCGGCACATACCGATGCCATTAGATCACAGAGTTCTCCACTTTTAGCCATTTAATGTAGCTGTGGGCTCGTCATCCTTGTCTCTCGATTAATTCATAATGATTCATATTGCAATATGGACGTGGACACAAGCCTATGATTGTTGCTCAGTACAAGAATATTTTTCAATCAAATTCTTTTAAATGAAAATTTATTTTTCAGAACATTGAATACTACAAATTGCATTTACATTGCATCATCAATTGCTTGAATTCATGATTATTTTATATTTCGACAAGCAGGGCGGAGCCATGATTTTTTTCATGTGAGGCACAAATAATTGAATTAAAAAAAATTAAGCATTGTTTTCCTCACATAAATTTTTCTGATTCAACTTCTTAAAATTTTCTTTTGAAATATCTTTTCATGCGATATTAAAAATTGTATGCTTGTCACAAAAAAAGATTTTATGATAATTAAATGATAAATAACTAATTTTATGCTTATCACAGATACGAGAGATCGCAACTTAAAAAATATATATGTCAATCGTTACGATGCACTCAAAATTCTTTGCTTCCGAAAATATTCTTGAATGCAAAAAATACAACATTAACAATTTTTCTTTGAAAATCTGTAATATCTATGCAACTATTGAATAGCCTTCAACAATCATTGAATAGTGTGAGCAGGACACACCGGAAGGGAAAGAAGCCAGAAAGAACAGGGAAAGTAAATTTGATCTTATTGAATAATCTGTACAATGCTAAGCCTGGCTATATATAGACTACAGGCTATTTAACCATACATCAAGAACTAGAGAATACCGTAAACATAGACCACATAATGGGACCTAATGCCACGTGTACACTTATGCTAACATGCCCCCTCAAACTAAGCATCCTGGGCACGGATGTTTAGTTTGTGCCGTAGAAGAAGGAACCAGTCTTTAGGCAGGGATTTTGTGAGTATATCAGCGATTTGCTCGGCGGAGCTGATGTGTAGAATCTTGAGAGCGCCGGCTTTTATATGATCGCTAATGAAATGGCAGTCAATCTCGATGTGCTTTGTCCGTGCGTGAAAGACCGGGTTGTTGGCGAGTGCTATGGCCGATGTGTTATCACAATATAGAGGAGTTGGTCCGTTCTGCGGTAGGCGAAGTTCGGCCAGCAGCCGGCGAAGCCAAATTACTTCGGACGTGACCGAGGAGATGGATCGGTATTCAGCTTCTGTGGATGACTTAGCTACTGTAATTTGCTTTTTTGCGGACCAAGAGATGATTGTGTTGCCCAAGAATGTGCAGAACCCGGTGATGGACCGCCGATCCGAGTTGTCTGCGGCCCAGTCTGCATCGGCGAAGGCTCTGAGCTGAAGATCGTCGTGATCTATGGGAATGCCAAGTTCGGTAGTTCCTTGTATGTAGCGCAATAGCCGTTTGAGTGTTTGAAAATTGTCATTGGAAGGTTCATTCATGTGTTGGCAGATGTAATTAGTAGTGAAAGCTATATCGGGTCGGGTAATAGATAAGTATTGAAGCGAACCTGCAAGTTTTCGGTACAGCTGCGGATCGGAAAAGCGTGCCGTGTTGGTGGTTCCGGTGGATCGTTTGAGCAACATAGGGTTGAGGGCTGCTTTGCTGTTTGTGAAACCGGCGGTGTGAAGGAGTTGTTTGGCATAGTGTTGTTGATTCAAGAAGTAGCCTGTTGATGTTTTGGCAACCTGTATGCCTAAGAACAGGTATATGTCACCTAATTGTTTGACTTTGAATTTGGAATGTAATTGATGTAAGAGAGATTCAATAGTGAACTTATCATTTTCGATGACCAAGATGTCGTCGACGTAGATTAACACAAACAGACGTGTCTGATCTTTCGTGTAGATGAGCAGTGAAGGGTCGGCTTTGCTGAATGTGAAGCCGAAGGTTCTTAGGGAGGTTGTAATTTTGTTGAACCATTGTCTTGGTGACTGTTTAAGACCGTAGATGGATTTGTTGAGCTTGCACACGAATTCCGGATGTGTAGTATCTCCGAACCCTGGTGGTTGTTTCATATAAACGTCTTCTTGAAGGTCGCCGTGGAGAAAGGCGTTCGAGACGTCTAGTTGAAGAATGGACCAGTTGTGAAGAGCTAACGTGATCAGTACGCGGATCGTAGTCATCTTGGCGACTGGGCTGAACGTGTCAGTGTAGTTAATGAAGAATTCTTGTGAGCATCCGAGGGCTACAAGACGTGCCTTGTATTGAGATACTTTGACAGAGGGATGTCGTTTAATCTTGAATGTCCACTTACACCCGATGATCGGTTGGTTGTGCGGAGGAGGAACTAATGACCATGTGGCTTGGTTCTGGAGAGCCACGTGCTCGGTAGTCATTGCCGAGCGCCAATGTTCATGTTTGTTTGCTTGAGCAAAGGAAGTAGGGGTGTCCTCGAGTGTGGATACAGCCGAAAGATCCAGTATTTGTCGTGGTTTAGTGATGCCTGACATGAGACGCGTGTGCATTTGATGAGTTCGGACAGGTGGGATGGGTGGTGTTACGGACGTGGATGGGCTGTGCGGCGTGGATGGAATTGGTGATTGAGGCTGAATTGGTTGGGGAATGTTTGTCTGTGATACGGGTTGGTGTTCGGTTAGTGAGGAGGATATTGTGGATGCTGGAGTGCGAAGAAGTGGCGATTGGTGCAAGGGTGGTGTGGTAGATATATATATATATATATATATATATATAAGGAAACAAATGAGCAACTTTTGTATTATGACAACATAAAAGGAAACGATGTAATATAAAGTAAATAAGATAGTGTAGTATAGCATCCAAGTCGGTAAGATAGTCATGTGCTCGTCATCAAATACATATAAACGTCTTCTTGAAGGTCGCCGTGGAGAAAAGCGTTCGAGACGTCTAGTTGAACAATGGACCAGTTGTTGTGAAGAGCTAACGTGATCAGTACGCGGATCGTAGTCATCTTGGCGACTGGGCTAAACGTGTTAGTGAGTTGATGCCGAATTCTTGTGAGCATCCGAGGGCTACAAGACGTGCCTTGTATTGAGATACTTTGTCGAAGGGATGCCGTTTAATCTTGAATGTCCACTTACACCCGATGATCGGTTGGTTGTGCGGAGGAGGAACTAATGACCAGGTGGCTTGGTTATAGAGAGCCACGTGCTCGGCAGTCATTGCCGAGTGCCAATGTTCATGTTTGTTTGCTTGAGCAAAGGAAGTAGGGGTGTCCTCGAGTGTGGATACAGCCGAAAGATCCAGTATCTGTCGTGGTTTAGTGATGCCTGGCATGAGACGCGTGTGCATTTGATGAGTTCGGACAGGTGGGATGGGCAGCATTACGGACGTGGATGGGCTGTGCGGCGTGGATGGAATTGGTGATTGAGGTTGAATTGGTTGGGGAATGTTTGTCTGTGATACAGGTTGGTGTTCGGTTAGAGATGAGGATATTGTGGATGCTGGAGTGAGAAGAAGTGGCGATTGGTGCAAGGGTGGTGTGGTAGTTTGATTAGTCTGGTTCATGATCTTGAATGGAAAGATATCTTCTTGGAACGTGAGGTGTATGGATATGTAGACTGTATTTGATTGAATGTCCAGGCAGTGGTATCCTTTGTACGTTGTGGAGTAGCCGAGAAAGACGCATTTACGGGAGCGAGAGTCGAGCTTGCTTGAGGCATATGGCTTGAGCCACGGGAAGCAGAGGCATCTGAACGTCCGGAGATGTGAGTCGGAAGGAGGTTGCCCGTGAAGTAGACGGTGTGGACAATGAGGATGTGTAGCTTTGCTCGGTATGCGATTGATTAGGTAGTGAGCGGTGGTCAGGGATTCGGCCCAGAATTTTTGAGGTAGACTGGCAGCGTGTAGCAGGGTTCTTGTGACGTCAAGAAGATGTCTGTGTTTCCTCTCGGCCATACCGTTTTGCTCAGAAGTGTGAGGAAAACTGAGATGACGAGTGATCACGTGTTCAAGTAAGTAGTTGGTGAATTGATTGCTGAAAAACTCACCGCCGCCATCGGAGCGAAAGTGTTGAATAGTAGTGTTAAATTTATTGTGAATTAAATTGCATAAGATTTTAAATTTTGAGAACGTTTCAGACTTCGCAGTCATCAAATAAAGCTAAAAATATCGCGTAAAATCGTCAATGAATATCACATAGTATTCATAACCGTTCATAGACTGGCACGGTGACGGACCTCATACATCCTCATGAATAACCTGAAAAGGTTTAGTACTAACAGAAATGCTACTAGTAAACGGTAGTTTATGACATTTTGACACTTTGCAAGAAATACAGATGTCTGTAAAAGTAGAAGAATTGCGTAAGTCGGGAATAAAATTTGCTAAAGAGGAGATGGACTGCGGGTTCGGGTGCCCCAGACGGGCATGCCACAGCCGAGTGCTGCTGTTCCAGACATGAAGAGCGGGAATGTCGGAGGCGGTTGAGGCTCGAATTTGATATAGGCCATTGTGCTTGCGACCATGAAGAAGTTGCCGTTTGTCCTGGGTATCCTTAATCACGAAACCATTAGCATCAAAAATAATTGAAATGTTGTTGTATGTTGTTAATTTGGAGATGGATAAGAGATTATGAGAGATGGATGGAACATGTAAAATGTTGTGAAGACGAAGCTTACGAGCGGTCTCCGGAAGAC